AAAAAAACGAAAATGGCGAAAGTACAACTCCAAGAAGATTACAGTTTCTATTATTCCGTTCAAAGCGATTGCTTTGTTGTATATATCTACGATGACAATATATACCTCTACTAAATTTAGGACCATGTAATATTGTCTAGGCTCAAAACCTGATGCAAGCGTGCGTCATTTCGTGCTGAAGGCCAGTCATGCCAAACAACGCTTAATGACTGTGCCGGATCTATAACTAGTAATATTAACTGTTTTCATATATATGGTAATTTTCTTTGCTAAATTTTAACACAAAACAATTATTACAATAGCGTTGTGGTTAGATAACTCAAAGAAATCAAGGCTTCCATAGGACGTGACACAGTGATGATTTATTTCCTATAGCGAATTGCCCTTCCATTGATATCACGGTAAATAAAGAAATTTTGGTGAAGTTTGCATTGCACATATCAGTCAAATTAAAGGGCGTTTAGCCATAGATTTACTGTGGTCTAATATGGATAGACGCCATGTTAAAGAAAAGCTTTAAGCTGTTCTATGCCAACATATTTATTGCATTTTGCAGTATGTACACTTATATGCAAATATTCTGCCATTTCCGATATTCATTGTTCCATTCTTTACAGAGATATCTGTTTACGCAACAACGATAGGTTACACACCTTTGACTCCTACAAAGACAAAATGTTGTCGTCGTCTGCTCTCTCATGCCAATTGGGTGTACATTTGATCTTTAATATAGCGCAACTTGTTGGACGTTTGTCCAACTAATATGGCGCACAACAGGTCGACTCGTAAACTCCACCCGCAAAGGCAGCATCTTGTCTAGGTCGACAAACAACTCACGTGATGTGGGGAACGAACAGACCACTGTCGAAGTCGGCCTCCGCTACTTTCCCTGTGGAGCAGTTGGGGTGATCCGTAGCAGGTTGGCTCACAATGGAGCAATTTGGGCTTACATAAATCATCTTGTTTATTTTACCCTGCTTGGGTTGACCCCGCGAGAAACGGCGAGAGTCCACTCTTGATCTAAAAGCAGCTAAACCCCACGCAGGCTGCCGCAGTCGTTTTCACCTTGCACCATATCTTGCAGCATACGGAAAGGGAGTCGTTTGGCTACTACACTATGAAAGATGATAAGTTTACTAACAGACATGACTCTGAAAGCGCATTCCTTCCAATATGAACGCTCGCAATTTGACAAACCGCACACACGCGTGTGTTCTTTAATTCTTCGACTCACCTGGAGAAACGCACGGACATACAGCTACGTTGGATAACCAACATGACGGTGATTACGATCTGTGGAACAGATAGCAATTCACTTATACCGGCCCAACTAAACGGTAGAAAATGAAGTCTTTAGATGCCATTTAGGTAAGCCCGTCTATCCACCACGGATGTTACGCGAAAGTCCCGGTTTCACTGCCAGGATCATAAACTCCATACCATAATCTCTTTCAGTGATACGAGTAAAGAGATATCTAGCGGTGACAACGTAGACAAGATCCTTTATAACGGAATACAAAACGAACCGAGAAGGTCTGCGGCAGGAAATAAAAAAGCTTGCATCATGCCATGAGAAACTAGGGCAGGGATAGCATTAATAAAAGGATATCACCGCTATTCTAGATCAAGCGGAACTACCAGGTGTGATCGTATATTGGCTTGATTCGAAATGACGCAGCGTTCTGGATGTAGAGAACGAATATCGGGGATATGCTTATTAAGTGGATTTCATCTAAACCGAACACCCATGGGGGCATAAAGGAAGGTAAAGAAGTCGAAAGCAGAATAGGAGATACGAAGAGCTTTTGGAGTAGTTAAGCACAAGCTGGTGCCTCTTCTGTTGCTCTAACTGCCTTAAGACAGCCACTCTATATTGCACTGTTTTAATGACGCAGCTATGACCTGACCGGCGGAACCGGACGGAGCAGGCTCAGAGAATCAGATTGCATCGAAGGAACGTTGTAAAGACACAAGACCGAACGAGACTGGAGATCTTGCGGAAAGACAGCTGAGTGTGGTGCTTTCATGGTGAACGGCGCATGCTGCGTTTCTGCGACTCCTGTTTCGCCCCCTCTAAACCTCCAGTGCCCTCCAATCATGATTTCTCGGCCATCTTCGAAGGCTAGCTAGCTAGTTTTTTTATGTTTTGCAGTACGGGGGCAAATACAACAGCACCATTCCTCGCCTTCATTCTCCCGCGCCTCCGCCGCTATTTTCTATGACCAACAATAGCTCGACGAGTGCCTCACGCTTGGCGGTAGTAAAGTAACGGCGACCTCGGCTGCTGGCGGTTGCTGGGGCCTCTGAAAAAGACGTACCTCCATAGGTGGCACCTGCTAGTCAGCGGCCGACGCGGAGAGCTCATTTCGCTCACGCCGAGCACAATACAGAAGAAAAAGAGCCATGCTTACTGATACTGGTCCCTTCGACTTCTACCGAGCTGTCTTGTGTGCCAGCTCGCATTTACCCATATATATATATATATATATATATATAGTTGTGTATGGTTTTGTGAAGCGTACACACGCTAGCACACTTACAGACTATGGGACACCTTTGTTGGTGCGTATTCATGCGACGTGGTATGTGAATTTGTCCTGCCGATTACGTCTATGAGCTTACTACAGAGGAAAGAGGAAGGTTCTAATGCTCGGTATAAGTGTAAGGGCATGCTGTAAGGGGGCAAAAACGAGGCTGGGGCGAGACTATTGTTTATCAAGATCGGTCGGGTGTGGGTGGTAGCTCGGTGTGCAGACGAAGACGCAGGGGCTAACTGGGCATGATTGTGCATGTAGTCGCTGTTGTCCTGACCAGTTGTGTACAGAGACGTAGAGAAAACTGAGAGGAAGAGAGAAAGGAATAGAGACAAACATGAAAGTAAAACCGAAGCTCGTCTCGCATAGCCGCGAATTCAGTTCTTTCCCATTCTGCCGCATATGTACTGGGACGAACCATGTTCATGGTCCTGCTATTGGATTATTGCACTGCTTAACAGTACCTCCCTTTACGGCATCTGTTGGCGGTCGGTGAGGTTTGCTCGCATTTTCTTGATGCCCCGGGGCCGATGGACGGCGGACCGTGCTTGGCAAACGAGTCTTCAGCTGAGGTGCTGGCGATTAGGTTCTCACTACCCAGTATTCGGTTTAGTCCTAAGCTATGGCGTATTATGGTGGCAAAGTGTCCAGCAACTTCAAGACAACAAAACGATATCCTCAATGACGACACCACCGACGGCGGCAACAACAAGCTTCTGTTTCTATAGGAAAACACTCCAGCGCTAACATTGCAGCACACTAGGAACAGTTCACAAGCGACCTGCACGGGACGTCCTTTGGCGTAGCATAGGCCGCAACTATCCTGCGACAAGACGACCGCCAGTGACAAACGTGATCGGCCTGCGAAGAGCCTGCAGAGTGCTTCGGATTCGCCTTGATGTGACCAAAACGGGCGTAGACGACCCTGTACCAGGGCAGCATACCGTATGCCGTTAAATTGTTAGAAGTACTTGTGGTAGCTCACGAGACAGTTGCCTCTCGTACGGTGAACAGCATGTTGGAGGTTTATGGCGACCAAAATGGCCGTCGGAGGCTGCTGTCAGCGATGTGTGCGTATGCAGGTTGTTGTTTGCTACGACATGACGTCAACTATGCCCTGGGGGCAGAATTGTTATTTTGCAAATCAAGTAAACTTCGAAAAGAATCGCTTTAAGCGAACGATCCCATTCAAGGATGGGTTGCGCACGAAATAAAAAAGCGCACCTCTTGCGCTCAACGTCAAAATATAAAATTATGTTGCACAAATATTGTATGCAATTAAAACATACGTGATGTACCTAGAAATTCTAAAACGCAGCTTTTATGCCATCGTTCAACTAACTGCTTTCTAGACGTTATTGCCAAAGTTGCGGGCTAGAAAACATTTCAAATATGAAGAACTTAAAAAAAGAGATTTCCTTTTTTGCGAGGTGACTAGTTATTATTAGCAGGTCGCTTTATCTACGGACAAGGCGAAGGCGTTACAAAAACGAAAAACTGGTACCTATAAGGCTATCGGCTATCACAGCTGTTCGCCAGAAGAAATTCAACCGTACTAGAGAAAACAGATTAAGTCGGCCTAGTTCAGTACAAAATGCACCACCAATAGAATCCGTTAAAGAAAAAAAATATATGCTTATTTCATGTTTAGATTCAAAACAGGGCAGAGAGACTTTGTCATGCTGGAACATATCCTTTCTGAAGTAGTGCTTCAACGTCGCTTTTTTTTTCGCATCCCAACGTCGCATTCCAAATATTTATTTAACTTACATGCCGTGTGTTTTTTTTTAATTTTCCAAAAAAAAAGTACTTAATTACAGGTTCATTCATACTAACCGTTCCAAGTTTTATGGTCAACAGCGTCGTTAGCCTTTTCATTAAAGGCGGACCCCTTATACCATCGATACAATTATTATAATGTGTTAATTTACGCAAAAAGCATTATCAAGGGCATTATCAAGCCGCAAGGGCTTATATCGTTTGATTTTGTCCCCTTTTGTATCTCAGACAATACAACATATTCGTAAAGGAAATTAACAATAATCATCAACAATAAGCATGAATTTTTGCATATATTCATTACAGATTAAATATCAAACTAAACAAAAAAACATATATATATATATATATCTATACATATCGAAGGCAATGTAACGTATACAACAAATATGATATAATACAACTATATTTATACAACTCACAATCAATGTACAATAGCTGTTTTCCAAGTGCCCTCCAGTAAGAACAAACAAATAAGCTAAAAAGCTTGAAACTATCTGGAGCTTTTTATCAGGTTTGTGACTAGATCCTGGGCTGCTCACCTATACTGATGCCTGCCTTAGCTGAATTACCGTTTTTTAAATTAACCGCTCAACCTTCTCTCCCCTTCACTTTTCTGTCTGACAGCACGTCCTCGCGGGAGCCAGTCGCTGTTCTGGCATCCGTCTGCTCGGACGACAGCTTCAATTGAAGTGCCGCTCAGAGCGCCGGCGCCTCATTGTTTATATCCAGTGTTGGCCCATTTTTATCGACCCATTGTTTACCAAACGCCAGAGAAGATATGGTGAAACGGTGATCAAAAATTAGAATTAACTTAGAAAGTTGTGTTCGGCCCTTGTTATTAGATAGTGTTGCCAGAACTTTTTAGATATTCAAGTAGAATGCCCTGCTGACAAGAATGAGCGATAGATAATGCCCGGTGCCGATGTATACAACGCTTTCTCGTGCACTAAGAAAAATGCAGATAACTGCGAGCGATAGGATTCCTCACTGATGCCAACTGTTTTCTCGGACTCAAATATCACAAAAGCTTTTTGCGTAACGTTAGCAGTATTTTAAAAAGTATCACTCGCCCAAGAATGGCACATGTTTTTGCTCTCACAAGTGATAGTGGCATTCCTATATTTAGTCGAAGTTTAGGAAATGCAGCGGAATCACCGTTGAATTTCGCCGAAATTGGCACCCTCAATGGAGTCCACTTATTCTGTGCTCTTCGTGGCGCTCAGCTTCATCGCTCAGAGACGTTCAACGGTACAGCCGTTCACTGGAAGGTCTATTATGACGCGATCACCTTGACTCTTGTTCTTCTATCCGACTGCCGGCCGGATTTCGTTTCCGAGGAACTTGTTCGTCAGCTGTTGGATAGCATCTTCCAGGTGCTTACCTTTCATGCGGGATTATCTTCTTTGAAAAACATTTCGATAAGTATCGAACGAGTGAAACGAGACATCAAGCCAGGCCTGGCTATCATCGACGCACTCGTCAGTTCGTTGATTGGCGAACGCGAGCAAGGCGAACCGCTTAGCGAAACTTTTCGTCCCCCATGTATCCTGCCGGCAACTATTCCTTATCACCCGCTGTTAGCTGGACCTGCTATACAGAACGTGTCCGTCTACCTTGAGGCCTACACGACACGAATTGACGCCTCTTATGGGTTCGTCGTATTCGAGGATTTTCTGCTCCTCGGAACTAAAAGTTTCAACGCTTTGCCGACAGGCGATCAGTCGATTCTTGTGCTACAGGCAGCATTCGTTGAGATGGCAGCCAACAAGAGGGCATTCGAGGGCGGTATATTTTTACCGGATAGCTCGCCAGATAGCTGTAATCGACTCGTTGTTGTATGTGTCGGCGGAAACTTCCGAGTATGTGTGTTAGCGCTTCCGGAAACAAATATAGCTATTCTTGAAGAGCATGCCCTTGGTCTAGCGGCATTTCCACCCCATGTTCTCGAAGCCAATACGACAGCCTGGCTCCGAGAAAGCCGAAGGACCATCCTGGAGAATTTGCACCACTCGGTAGCGGCCTTATCATTTGTAGGCCGCAAAAGGCATCATTTGCGATGGTTTGCCGATCCCCAGCTAAAGGTCATGCTTCAACTGCAGGAATGCGTGAAGTTCAACTTTGGCACGGAGGAAACTGATGGCTTTTGCCGTTTCGGTGAATTGCCAAATAGCTACGTGGCCTGTCATCGAGTACACGATGGGCAAAAATTGTTTGTTGTGCTTAGCAATGTTCCTTTATTCGCCGTCAGCACTTTAGTAGATAAAATATTTAAATACATTTCGTCAAAGTGCTCGTAGAGAAAACTAAAAGACAAACAAAGTCAATATATAGCCCCAACCAGAGGAATATATACGACATGATAAGCCTGTACTTACGCGAAAAATATTATATCCCATCATGCGTGGACCTGCGAGTTGAAGTTGAAAGTTACAAACCATAGCATTCATTGAATGCTATGGTTTGTAACTTTGTAGCTTCATTATTCAATATAGCGGCACCATTAACTTTTCGTCGTGTGTCGCTGGTGATGTTTGCAAGTGAAATCCGTTTTTGATTGCAATTTTTTTAAGTGTCAGTCAATGGTTGATTTTACCTTATAGCGATTGAAGAATACCCATGTATAATATTTTAGAATATATGGAAAAATTTTGAATTCAAAATGTTATATAGGTCAAAATTTACTTGTAGTCAATTTCTGCCATGAGCAAGAAAGGCATCATATTCGTCGAAAACGCTTCGATGATATGACTGAACAAAAAAAAATATACGTCAGCCATAAATAATTGTGTAAAACTAGAAGGAAAATATTTTTCTTCCTATAATTGGCTGTGATTATGGCTATAACAGAAGTTTTTCTTAATTATTTACTACTAAGTTAGGTAGGTAAAACATTATGATTAGTCTAATGTAGGTTTAAAGTCTGCTTTTGAATAACCCGAATGTGGCGCCATCTATGAGTTCGAGAGGAGGAAAGGAACTGTGCGTATCATTCTCTAAAACAAACCAATTTGACCGGATTGTCACCCGTACAATAATGCTGGCTATGCATGATTTTTGTATAATTATCCATAGTGTAGGCTGATCTATGTTCACAATTATCGGCCATGTAGTGCACAAGCCGTTTTGTCCAAACGATGCGTTAGGCCAATTTAGCTATTTACATTTCTTTCAAAAGTAACCCAGGTGATAAGTTGTTGACGGCGACGACATATGTTACAACAAATGAAAGGCCATGATGTCTTAGTATAGTGCATATACACATTCATACTAACCTGGGTTGTGGTCTCGGTCCTATTAATTTTTGTGTGAGACTGCCATAGACACCATTCGATCTCATATAGATTTGAAATTGAACAAGTTTATAAAAGTATCATAGATAAACGGAACGCTCAGCAGAAGTTCGATAAGTTACAACAGAAATACTTACAAGTCCCGTATATCCCCATTTTTCGAAATTTGCCTAAAGAAAAAATTTTGTAACGCGAATTTCTGACCCGGGAAGATTCCGTTGAAGCTTTTATTGTATTAAAATCTCAGAATAACGCCCCATTACTATAAAAAAGCGAGGTGAATTATATTTGTTTCTGTCCCCTATATTTTTCTTTTATTTAGCAGTTCTGCGTTTTTTCCTGAAATGATTGCGAATGCGGTACCCGCAAATGCCTATTGTATTACAAGTTGTGCCTTTGTAGGTGGATAACGAGGAAGACTTCAGATATCGGTGTAGTAGGGAAGTTGTGCAGCATTAAAACTCTAAGTGAAAACGAATTAATTAGTATTGGGACTTGACCGTATTTGTGCTAAGTGTTATCGCTTACAGAATATATAAATAAAGGGTTTTCTTTTTCTTACAAAAGTAATTTGTTGCTAAAGTTATATGGTCTTTTTGACAATCTAGTTATCAACAGGCATAGTAAGCTTTGTCGAATACCCTTCTTTAATTCTGTTATGAGCAAAACAGACAAAAATCGAAAACGAAACTACGTATCTAACAAAAGTACTCTTGATTTCTTAATGCATAATAATGATGTCTGTACGCCAAGCGGAAATGCATCCGTTTTATGTTAGGGGAAAACTGATGGTCTCGAAGGTAGATGTCTTGCAGTACAATGTGTATTACTACTATTACCAATCTTCTGAATCGCATGCGTGCACCTGTGCTTCTTTTGCTATCTTACTTCACACGAATTTGCTTTGTTAAAGGTGTGTAACTGCGCATAGTTGGGTCGACCTGAAAATTCAGTTCATACAAACAGATTCGTTCATATGGTGAACGGGTCCGTTTGAACCACCGGTTTACCTCTTCCACTTCAGTCTACACCAGTGTCGTCGTGCTGTAGCGTTTAAAGATATGCATATTCACCCTTAAAGCTCTCCCATCTCTGTCGTTGGATATTTTACTTCGCTGTTAAAGATAACCTGCACCTTTCTAAGCGGGGGCTCACTTTCTCTCTCTCTCTCTCTCTCTCTCTCTCTCTCCTCTTTGAGCGCTCTTACTGTCCCTTGCGTTGCGTTCCTTTTCTAGGCCCGGGAGTTTCCCATGGCTTCAAGTTATCCTAATGTTGCCACGCCAACAATGGCGACAACATAACTAGAAGCAGTCCTGAAGTCAGCTACACTTCAGGCGGTGTAAACGTATTTCATGGCTATGTTGGGCTCATTACGCGGTCTACAGAAAAGATACGAGTGGATCAGTTTCCTTCCGGAGTCGTAAGAAAAGCTTCGTCTTCCACATCACTGATGCGCGTTCAGTGGATCAGTTCGCCTCCGACTGACTTCGGAACGGTAGCTGGTAACTTTTTGTATACACAGATTCCCGCAGAGGGAGCAACACGAACATGGATATGCCAAGCATATGCACCATACGGACCATGAGCTTTTAGATCTTCGGGAGTAACTTGTTTATGGCAAAACAGCCTGAAGTCAATCCGAGCTACCCTTCTGCACCAAGACAGAGCCCAGCCTAAACCCCAATCCGAAGCCTATATTTCAACGTCGTCACCCACCGGCTATCATTGGCGGTTGCTGGATAGACGAACGATCGCCGACATTCATCTTACTACCTAGTAGAACCCTGGTTTGCGATAATTTCAGACAACTCCTTCCCCCGTCATATATATATATGTGTGTGTCTATGTATATTTATATACTTCCCTTCGAACGCTGTGCTTAAAGAAGCGGCTAGTTTTCGAAAAGCCAGGTCTTCTCTGGCCTGTGGCTGCCCCGTGTGTCGTGGGTGCTCACGCGGAGTTGCACGGAAGCAATGGCGATCGAATAGCTGCTCTAGAGGCCCTTCTCTCCTATATCCTAGTATGCGATTGAGCAGGCTCAGACAGCCTGGCCAAGCTTTTGCTGCTGCATGCAGGCGAATGAGTCAGCTTAGGCAACGAAGGTCTTAACGCAATGGGGTTGAGAAAAACAGTGAAAAAGAGAGGGACGGACCGAGACCCTGCAGCCATCGTGGCTTCGGTAGCGAGTGGTGGGCCCCGCTAAATGGTAAAATTATGCTGTCACCCACAAGCGCGAGCTCCTCGAAAGACATGCTTCGGGGTGCGTCTCTTTGGGTCGCTTTTGCCAGCTAGTCTTACTGGGCGGCTGATATTCTGCTGCTGTACACACACTTACGGTTATATAGAGCCTGTTTCAGCTTATACGAACGTTTGAGGGGGACAACTGGGTTACCTTGGGGACCTCCACCAGGCTGTAACTCAGGATTGGCAGGGGTTTGTGGTGGACGAAGCTGTGCTGATGAAAATGGTGATTATGTTGACGGCTCCAGAGGTTGAGATGGTTGTAGCTGATGTGATCACGACGCTTAGGGAAATGAAGAATAACCGGTGAAACCACTTACATACACATACACACACGCATGTATGTATGTATATATATATATATATATAAACTGGCTGTAAAATGTGTAATTGGAGTGGAAACTTATCCAGCAAATAGCCATCTCCATAAATTTCACCTTGTGTTAACTAATTGCCCCGGTCTATTTGAGTCTGAAGAGGTTTACCTCACAACACGCTGTTGTCGTCGTTTATATCCTTTCTAGTTATCCTACAGATTAAGTTAGAGGGGCACAGGTTACATAAACATAGACTGCTAGATAACAATTCCAGTAACTAAATGTGCTTACAAATGCTTATTATCAAACTCAAGAACATCGGAGCTATTTTATTTCTTTGACATCCTTACAGCGTTGATATGTGTACGGATTGTCGGTTAAGATGATCTGACGCCAGGTTGGATCGGGGGAGAACCTGGAAAATTTGAGCCTCATCTTTAGGCCTTCACCGGATACGGAAAAAGAGAAACATCGATGACAATGGTAGGCAGCCATAAAAAGCCTCTCACCGCTATCGTTTCCTGCCCTTCGAATTGCCCTACATATCAGGGCAAAAAAAAGCATTAGTAGTGAAGGACGAGCCGAGTTGTGGCGATAGACCAGGGAGTGTCTGTTGTCCTGTAGGACGCTTGGAGGAGATACCTAGCTAGCTCGGGCCTGGACACCAAAAAAGACGCGCCATCCGCGTGGCAGGGTCAAATTTTCTCAAATGTTTTTAGTTCGCATTATTCTACTTACTCTTTGGGTTTTAAGATACACATGAACAAGTATACTGAAGCTCTTCGTAGCATAATGCACTTAGAAGGAAGGGAGAAATCGGATTTACGTTTTGTTGCAGATAGTGCTGGAGATGTCTACCGAGACCTTTCAATACCCATCCAGCTAATACAACTGTATAGTGGTGATGCTATTCCAGCAACCTACGTCGACCCATGTGGTACTGTTTGTTATTTGCAGTTACCAATTTATTAGCAAGCTGCAACTCGGTCGGACTGATCTGACGGGTAATCAGCCGCTGAAGTACCACAACTTGCGTCATCTAAAACCGGTGATAAGGCTGTTGAAAGCATTTTTTAGGTAGAGTAAACGGCGCGCGCGATCGTCACATTAGCCCGAGTTGTAGCGACAAACCTAAACGCAACCGCCCTTCTGATTCGAGAATTTGTAGAGTACGTCAGTTAGTGGTTAATCATTGTGTGCAATATTAGTACTAAGGAACACCACGGGTCAGACTACCCGATGCGTGTCTTTTGTCTGCTGTAATCAGCATCGCAGCATTGAAACTTATTGCGGTAAATGGGGCTAAACGTATCACATGCAAACAAAAAACAATTCGCTACTGCATGCGCATATATATATATATATATATATATATATATATATATATATATATATAAAAAGATAACTTCCTTTATTCACACAGTATAGTATGTGTATTTCACGTGCATCGTCTATTGCACGGCCGGATCCTGAACACTATAAACATCAAATATTATCAAAACCGTATAAGCGGTAGATAAGTACGTATCCAGGGTTTGTCAACGTATTCTACACATACACTTTTCGTACGACGAAAGATCTATTGTATTGCGTTTTGGGTAATGCTAATAGGGCCTGCTTGCCTCTATCTATGTTCTTACATAATTTATTTTCTTAGTTGTCTGTATGTTTGTTGTTCTTCATTTAATAGCCACCATTAAATAGATCTCTCTCCCTCTATCTCCCTAGCATTCGAACTTTTCCTCGTTGACTGAAGATGACGGCAGTCTAAAAGGACGCATCTGACCAATGCCTTGAAGCTCAATTACCGTCGAGTCACGGGTGGGCGACGGTCTCGCTTTGTACGCCTTTCCGTCGTTTTTACAGCCCGCTTTGTTTATGTGCGCATGTTGCACGCTTGAGAACGACGGAACTGTGAGCTGTAATAACAATTACGGTGGTACCATTCAAGGTAGATCCAGCACGACCGAACGACGCAGTCGTTAAACGAACCCGACGTCATTGCTTGCATAGGCCGAAACGGCGTTAGCGAAAACTCGAAAACGACAAAGCGAAAAGAAAGAAAAACAAAGAAGATACTCGTTTGTGCCAGTTTCTTCAATCATGGAGTCAGCTGGTTTCCATCGAATATCATCCTGAAAGCAAATATTGCCCCTGAGGTTTCTTCCGACACACAAGGCCCCGACCGTTTAATAATGATTCGGTCTCTTTCTATGCGGTACAATGATGAGACAGCGGAGCCATGAAATGCATTCACGCATGCGGAAGCACACAGTGCAAGACGATTTAGATCAACACTAAGAACTTAGATTTTGTGATTGTGTGACTACTGCATTGCCATGGGGCCTTGTCGCGGAATATCACGTTACTGTCACAATGAGCCATAAAGCGAATTGCTATCGTCGCCAAAATAAACGAGCAATAGAAACAACAGAGTACGATCCTCTGCTTGAAAGCGGCCCCGAAACCGACATACTGTTAGTAGGAAGAAACTGTATAGGATACGGCCATCAACGAAAAAGAGGAGGAGAGAGAGTGTGAAGTATCACTGTTAAGCAATAGAAATAGAAGGTGCTTTGTGATTCATTAGCATTAAAAAAAAAAAAAGACAATGTTCGTTATGACCGTTGTATGGGCGGAACCAGATCGACGGTTGAGACTTCGCTTCGACGCGACGTATTGTGTAAGATAACGGCTAAGCCGGTTGTCAGAGATATTGTGAGTAATGGCCATGATCAACTCATGCATTTTTGACGGCAAAAATAGTAAGTCATAAGTTGTCGATAGAAATAATATATATGTATTCCGGGAAAGTTAATGATAAGTTATCACAGGTCTACTCTAGATATTTCTGCTTTAAAAGCTCTAATTAAATGCGCCTCGATCATCAGATGGCACTTTATATTATCATAAGGGAACTATGCTTACA